GGGAGCGCATTCCATAACTTAGGCGCCACCGCTGAGAAAGCCCTTCTCCGAGTAGCCACCCTCCTAATTTCCTTCACTGAGGGCTCCCGGAGGAGGGCCTCTCCTGCTGATCTCAAGGGGCGGCTGGGCATATATGAATGACAGCAACTACTCCGTAAGGATTAAAATGAAACTGTAGAAACTGAACCGGAAGGCATGGAAAAGCAGCCAAGGAGCAGTCCCGGTTTGAATATGGGCTCTGTCACATGTTCAGAGAAGTAAACAGGCACTTGGCCTTAATGATCCATACCCCATCCTCCATAGGGGGGATAAATGTACAGACTTGTTTGTAGGGTTGTTGGAAGGATTCCCAGTTGCTCAGACTTGAACGTTTGAAAGCACTCGATGATGATAGCCACGGTCTTTGCTATTATGGGCTGGAAAAGATCAATCTCCGGTCCATATCACTTCTGTGTGGTACATTCCCATATCATTATTCCTTCAATTTCTCATTAATTGGTGCAATTTTATAGGGGAAAACAGAACACCCTCCCAAATAATACTTGGGTGCATACTTTGTCCCAAAATATGAACTGTGCATTTTCTCTTGAAATACACACTGGGACTCTCCTAAAAGCTGTTTCCATTTGGAGACAGTTCCAAGCAACAGCTGGAGCTTATGCATTCAAAAATCCATTGTGTGTTTGCTTCTCCCACCGGGCTTTGGGAGAATCCTAAGTAGAGCTACCTTAGCACCCAGTAAAGCCCAGATGGGAGGTCCACACCATCCTCCGAGATTTCATCTTCAACACCAGCCTAAAGAATGCTCTCCAATACCATGGAGGAGCCAGGAAAATCACAGGGGCTTGCTAAGTAAATGTTACTTTGCAGCCGTTCCTCAGTAGAAACCAGTCAGCTTCTTGACTTCCTTCACTCCTTGGAGTGTTGGAGAGGTTTATGTCTGAGCAAATATTGAAGTCTATCAAGGAGACTTTGGTCAGGATTTGAGTGTTATGACTGCAGGCTATACTTTCAAAAACCACCTCTGAATCTTTGTTAGAAGTTTGCTCTTTCCCATGACCCAATTTCCATTGGACTGCCTTCATCAATACATTAATCTACCTTCAAATTACCCCAAGATTCTGTGGGGTTTTTTTTCCTGCACAAAGCTATGCTCTTGAATGCAACACAAAACCTGCATACCTTCTTAGAGTTTTATGGGGAGGGGAATTGTGCAAGGGAGTTGGCTCAGAAGCAAAATCAAAATCCAAGAAAGAAGCGGATTATATATATGGAAATATTCGAAGCAAAGTTTGCTTGGCCGATGTATGGAATCTCATGATTATTCTTTCAAGACAGAAAGAGCTTTTTGTGATGCATGTCCTAATCTGACAGTCCGCTTCTGCATCCAATACCAGCATGAAGAGTTCATGCAGAATAATTCTTCTACATATACAGCAGCTTATTCAACTAGTTCCATTCTGCAAGGGGTATGGCAAATTCTTTTAACCCTGCCATTTGCCATGCTAGCTGGTGTTAAACTATCCAACACATCTGGAAAAGACCAGATTGGGAAAGACCGAAGGAAACAGAGAGGTTTATTTCAGCCTGTGCAAGAGGTTGCACATACAAAAATGGGCATGGTGATGAAACTCCTCACACATATGTCTTGCAGCCATTCCCTGCTAATTCTGGGTTGAAAGTGATGTATTCTGATTTATATGTTTCATGCCTAGATGAGGTAGTTCCTTGACATTCCAGAGCTGGTATTATTGCTATCCTTATGGCTAAGACCAAGTTTACATACAGAGAAATGGATTTCGGGATGCCATAGAATTCAGTTTGCTCCATATTTTCAAGCAAATGGACCAGCTTGTACCTCCCAGTTTAATATGTGGAGCAGAAGCATTATTCTTCATATTCTATTCATTTTTCATACGTGCCCTGGCTCAAAGAAACATGTGCATATTATGAAAAAGGCACATATGAAATGTGCATGTTAAGGGAAAGATGGGCACAAGAATGCATGTATTAGGGAAACTTGCATATCTAAATTGCCTGTGAGAAACAAAGAAACGGAGTAAGCCAGAGGGGCCCCCGGGGCCACCAGGTCTGACCCCTGGTTCCAGCCAGCTCCACTCACGACATGCCCACCCAGAAATATACGTATTGGCATAAATGCATAAAGAAAAAATACTCAGAATGATGTAGAAACTGGATACAGCATATTTATCAATAAATGCATATGTCTGAGACCAAGACTGATGCCCACATTCCTAGTGGATCCTCTTCAAAAAAGGCTAGCTTTTTGGTAGGTATCGGTAGCTATTTTTCTGCTCTCCTACTGGCGTAGAGGTATTGCCGCACACAAGCTCATGAGTGTTCCTAGCAAAGTAGCCTTGGATATCAAGAGAATATTACAAGTAAGCATCTGAACTGTAGCAAAGTCCAAAGCACGAGCAGTTTCATTGACCCCAGTTGGGGACTCTTACCAGGGGAGAGGAAAGGACTTCAGGAAGGTTTAAAAAAAGTCTTACTGTTCCTTATGGACTTACTGTTGATTCTGGTGATTTTCCATGCTTTATCCTGACCAAACTGTTTGCCCAGCTCAAATTTGAATGGCTCTGTATTAGGATGAATGTCCTTATCTAAGGCTCCAAAGACCACTTTAACATCTTTGGCATCTTCACACACGTCTGATTCCCTTTGATAAAGAGAGGGGGCGTTGTCATTATCATCCGCCAAAACAATCTGCAACGTCCCCGTGCCTGTTGCAGGAGGGCTACCTATGGAAAAAGTAACATACATTAACAGATGGTCTATTTATGCACAGAGCATATCCCTTCCACCCACCTTCCGCCCACTGCACATGACCAAGGTGCTCATGTTTCAAGATCGGTGCACCATACTCCAGTGATTCATGTTTCATGGAAGACTTTCATGGGAGACATTATTTGCTGCTCAACAATGCTTTTACAGGTATTTTGCTTCACACCGGTGCAGGCTGCTTTGGCGACTGAAATGAAAATGAATCCCCTGATGAGCAATAGAAATAGAAAATATCATTTATGAGTAAGAGTCTAAGAGCACCGTCCATATTTACGCAGAAGTAGGTCCCTCTGAAGCCAATGGGGTTTACTTTAGCAGACCGCAGGTAGCTTCACTTGGAGGTTTCAGGGACTGGGCTTGTGACCTATGAGCTTACTCAGTATCCATTAAGCAAGCTGCGCATAGAATTCACCTTCACAATGGCATTAAACTGGGATGCCCCATTTATTTCACTTACTCTACTAAAAGAGCTGAAGTTTTGCAATATGCGTGACCTGACAGAAGTTGGTTTTCTGGGCCAATAACAGTATACTCTCTTTCCATAATTTACTGCAAATGGATCTCTCCATGTTCCAAAGTTGTTGTTGTTGCTTGGGATGTACAAATGTTTCTTATCACACCATCCACTTCTTAACGCTGGAGATAGTTCTATGCAGTCTTCAAGACTATGAACATGGACTGAATCAACCCTGTTAAACCAGATGAGTCCATCAGAGTCATGGCACTGTTGCTGCAGCTTGGTTTTGTAGAGAGTAGCATTGACGACAAAAGAAGGAGACGGCAGAGAATGAGGTGGCTGGATGGAGCCACTGGGGCAGTGGGTGTGGGCTTGGGTGGATCCGGGGGATGGTGGACAGGAGGCCCTGGAGGAGTGTTGTCCATGGGGTCGCGATGGGTCAGATGCGACTTCGCGACTAGCAACAACAGCAAGGCATAGCAAAGGACTTGTGCAACGCCCATTTCTGATATCGGAGAGGAATTTCCTCCAACTGACAGACAATGCACTTGATACCTATGCCAGAGGTAACTGAAAAAGGGCTTGAGAAGGTAGGTTACATACTATCCAGCCAATGTAACCTTTAGCCTTGTGTTAGAGAGATCCCCTGAAGTTATTGCTAGAAGCATTTCCTAGGTAAGCATGTCTCTTCTAAGAGCAGATCTGCCAGCTCCTTATTTCACATAGGTCAACAGATTGCTGACAGGTAGTAATAAGTTTCTGTCACTTTCCAAAGTTGATCCAAGACTCTTATATACAAGCAAAAAGTGTGATTTCTCATTCTCATTTCATCTCTTTCTCTCACCATGCATGTTTTCTTTAGCCACTGCTCCCAAAGGGTTTCCCTTCCTTGTCTTTTAAAGGAAACACATGCCCTTTCCATTAATTACTGGCATTTGTAATCATTCCTCCCTTCCAAGAAAGAGAGAAGTATCCTGCATCCAGACTTGCATCTTCAGAGCCCTTTTATGATATGAAGAGCTAGTATTCCAAGTGTACTTGTGACACAGATATTATAACTCCAACATTATCATACTGGCAGTTTCAAGTCCATTTCTAATTATGCCCAGTTTGGAATCTGTCAAGGTGACCACCACTTAGTTGTCATCTCTCTACCACAACACTAAGATCTATTTCCTGGTCAGTCGTGTTCAGATCAGATCCCATCACTCCATGTGTGAAATGAGAATCACTTTTCATTTTCTTGCGTGACACCATTCAGTTGTCCATTCTTCTAAGTTGAGAGATCCTTTGGGATCCCTTTCTGTTTCAACCATCCTAAACGAACTGGTCAGCTCGCTGTTATGTGCCATCAAGTTATCTCTGGCTTAAAATGATGCTACCAAGGAATGCCTCTGTAGTGTCTGTGAGATATCTTTCTGCTTGTAAACTGGAATGAAGCCATCCCATATTTGGTCTTCCTCTTTTTCTGCCTTTCTCTTTCCCACCATGACTGCCTTCTCTAGTGAGTCCTGCCTTCTCATCCTGTGCCCAAAAATACAAAGGCCTCTGTTTTGTCATTTTGGCTTGCAGTCCCTTGATTTGACCTAGGATCCACTGGTCCATGTTTCCATCCCTCCAAGGTATTTACCATGCTCTCCTGTAGCACCATGTTCTGATCCGTCTTCTTCCTATCAGTTTTCTTCACTGCCCACCCTTCACACCAAACATAGCGATCAAGAATACAATTAGCATGGCTGCTCTTGACCTTGGTCTTCTGTGTAATGTCCTTATACTTGATTTTGTCAATATATTTTGTGATCTTGTATTTCGATCGTTTGACATGGATTGTGAGCCCTTTTTGCCACAGTTCTCTTTGAAAAAGCAACTTGGTCATACTCCGCTAAATCAACTCCAGTGGGACATATACACATACAAATGCAATGAAGAGCCAAATGATGGTCGACAGTAAAACTATGGAGTCAAAACTTCATGGAATTCTTGCTCCGTTGATTTCAAATTAACTATGAATCCTGAACACACACAGAGAGAGTTCGAGGGTAGTGTGACTTGTAGGAATCATAGAGTTGTTGGCATGGAGTCCACTGCTTACCACACTCTTTGAGCATTGCATCTTTGATGCAGAATGCCTGTGCACTAGATGGAAGACATATTTTATTCAGTACAACCTACCAGCCAATTTAAACCATGTCTCATGCTCACATCACAAGCTTTGGAATGTGCAAGCCATGTCCCCAGAATGGGCTTCCCTTGGGGGAATGAACAGGACAAATTATGGTCACATATCAACCAAAATGAAATTCTCCTACATCCAGTCTTTGGACTGTTTCTCTGAACTGCAAACTTAAATTATCACCATCTTGACCTGAAGAACACAGTTTGAATTGCTGATACTCTACACAAATATCACCAGTCTTGGAAATCCCCAGAAATTTGCTGCAGAAGCTTGTACTCTTTTGCAGTAGCTCTTGACAGATGGGAAGGAAAGGAAAACTAACACAGAGACTTTTCAGGTCTGAGAAAACACCGTAATAAAATGATAGTTGTTAGAATGATAAATTATCCTAGGGGTGACACCATATCTGTCACACACACATAAAAGCATAAAGGAGGCAGAGTGGCCAGGATTCCAAAGTCTGTCTCTCTCTCTCTCTCTCTCTCATCATAAGGGGTAAGGGTTGAATGCCTTTTAATGAAAAAGAAATTATTCTTCATTTATAGCAGGGCTAATTGAATTTTTTAAAAAGAGGCTGCTATACATTTCTTTTTTATTCTTGATATACTATTAAGCCAAGTCAGAGAAGAGAATTGATGAAAAGACATTTGGATATTTGAAATAAGATCATAAAAGTCAGTCTTTCATGGGCTTAATTAAATCACTATCTTTAATTCAGCTGAATTACTTCCACACTAGGATGACACTGTTTCGTGCTGGCCTTGTTATCTTATATTAACAATATGTCTTTTTCCCATCCCATTTTCTAAAAACAAATTAAGAGTCCATTGGCATTGCAAATATGGCCTTTTTTGCCAAATGCAGATATTGTTTTCATTTGCTTTGTCTTGGTTCCATGTCATTTTTTCTCTCATGTTTTAGGGATCTCTTGGCTAATTTGTATGATATGAGGAAGAGAAAATTGCCTGCTATCCATTCTGGTTACTTACTATGTGTATTCTTTATGCATGTATATTATTTATAACCAATTACGCAAAATACACCCAAATTTCAAGAGAAAAACAAGCAAATGTCAAGGTCATAAACCAAAACTGCTGAACAACTTGCTGTAAAAAATGCATCAAAAGAGAAGCTGCAGATAAATGGATTCAGTTGAAGCTGAAGTAACCACCAAGCTAAGTAGAATATCGTCATTTTGGTCATTCTGGCTCAGGTTGGGAAAAGGGCAACTACCCAATAGCCTGGTTGCTGGTGGTTAAATATAAAGAAGACAGGTTGACCAAGTTGACAAGAGACAGGACCATGCAGAGTACACGTAATTACTTCTTTGGGAAGGTCGGGCCATTCCCCAGTTGGAAAACTCTTGGGATGCAAACCTGCTCTGCTTCCTGTAAGACCATGAACCTGATGGCTTCTATCCAATGCAGAGCAAGAGCTCTCTCTGCCTCCTTTCCATCCCGCTCTGCCTTTTCAATGGGTGTGCTTCTTTGCCCAACTGGATGTTTTCAAGGGGGAGGGATGGCTGCTTGAACAGGCTTGCTCATTCATTCATTCATTCATTCATTCATTCATTCATTCATTCATTCATTCTTATCGCATTAGAATGCTGTCCCATAGCTGAAGACTCTCTGGGCAATTCACAGTGCAATATAAAATAAAAACTAAAAACAATAACCATAACATATCCTGTTTGCTCCAGTCTCCTTTCCACCCTGCCCCAAAACGTCTCCCTAAACCTGCTCTGAGCCACTTTCCTGACTTCCAAGAGCATCTGGTGTGGTCCTTTCTCAGGAGATTGATGGTAAAGCTCCAATTCCCATCCCTTGCCTGGAAGCAAATGAAGAAAAGTCAGAAGAAGGCAAGCAAGCATTGACAGGAAGAGACATGGTCTGGTCTGGGTTGGTGGTGGTCTAGAGACACAGTGAGCTCCTGCACCAGACTGAAGTCTCCAAGGAAGTCTGGTAAATTGTGCAAAACTACATCTCACACACTGCTCACAAGGGTATGTTGGGAACCAGCCACACTGCAGCACAGGGCTTTATACTTGACAGTCAGCAGCTGATCAGAACTGGTTTGGAAGCATTTGAAACCTACTTCAGCAGTAGGAAGGCCTTATTCATGCAACAGGGAATAGAATTGGAGTGGGGTATGGGGCTGCTTTGGACCTAACCAGCCTGTTAGGTTAATGGGAGCTTATCTCTGTTTCCTCCAACAAATGCAGGGGGAAGCCATGGGTTCTCCTACATGTGAAGCATCCAAGATGCTTGGACTTGGCGTCCCACCCCAAGCAGGGGGTGGACCCTTCCAGCTTTACAATTTTTTGA